TAACTTGCTTGATCCAATAGCAGCATGTTCCTCACCGCAGAATAAAGCAGACAACAGCACCCACTGCTATTCTAAGGCCACCCTTGATCTTTTTCACCCCTCTCCCCTCCCATATGTTCCATTTGTCGAGGTTTGAAACATCTGTTCCCAAGGAGGTAATATGTTGCTCTTCATTCCAAGCCTAGCATGTAGACCAAAGTTCATGTGACATATTGCACAGTATATTTTGTTGCAAATGCTATGTAGAGGCTTTGGAAATGTAGCATGTAGAGCACCATGTGACACATGGTTGCCATGGCGATACACTTTTTGGCTGAACTACAGCATAAGCCCATGGAACATACATTGCTAATATGAGACTCTGCCCTGTGCTAATGCCTAGGACACAGCCAATCTGGGATCGAGGACTCCAGGGGCTTTGCGTGGAGCCTCAGGAGCAGGTGCCCACTTCCTGCATGCACAGGGAAGCTGAGGCATCTCCCTTCCCAGCCCTGTCTCCCCGGCACGGGGCATGTTCTGCATTCTGCCATGCATGGAGACAGCATTTGCTTGAATATCGGTTTGCTATATTTTGTATCAAAGGGGGCCCCAGCTGAAAACATTTTATTTTGTAAACTGAAGTGAAAAACCAGTTTATGGCAGATCCTTTTTTGAATAATGACATTCTTTTTTTTCTTCTTCCCAATTCCAGAATTCAACAGTCATGAGCAGAGCTGAAAATTTTAAGCAAGTTGAGTACCTCCTTATTCATGGAACAGCAGATGGTGAGTTTCAGTTAATTAGACTTTTTAGTATCACAGACAGGTTTGCAATTTCACTACTGACAAAACAAAAGCATGAGGGGCAAGACTGTTACATTTACTTCAATAAAACAGTGTTGCTTTCCACAACTCACTTGTCTTGGACTAAATGGGCTGTTGAGTCCTAGAACTTCAGACAGTCCCTTTCTTGTTGTGCGCTCCCCACCCTTGCTATCGAAAACCAGAGCAGCTATCAGCTCCTTGATGTCTCCCTTCTCTGCCCGCAGATAATGTTCACTTTCAGCAGTCAGCTCACATCTCCAAAGCGCTGGTGGACGCTGGAGTGGATTTCCAGGCAATGGTATAGCACACGGGTGTGCGAGGGGCGGGACGCTGCTGCTGGTGGGGCCCTGGCTACCTCTCTCTGGGCTACTTCTCCTCCCAGACGTCCAGGAGAGGCAGGGGAGGAAGGAAAAGGTGGTTGTTTTTAATGTTTCCAATGGGAATTCAGAGAACCGATGCCCGTGAACCCTTCACAGAGCAGTGTTCGAGAAAGCTAGAGAGTTTGGGGTTCAAAGTACCCTACTGGGTATCCCGGAAGTGTTCAAACACTACTCTCCTGTCCATGTGATCATTCAGTCTCTCCTTTCCCGGCTTTGATTCAAGAGAAATCACGGATTCAGTGAACGTGTGGCAGAGGAATTCCAAAGTGAACCCAGCACGATCACAGCCCAGCTCAAAGATGAAAATCCATTTCTAAGATTATATATATATATATTGCCGCTCCACCAACAGTGGGATATTAATAGTCAGCACACTTCAGCTTTTACAATTGTCATGCTATCTTTTGTTGGATAGCCACAGGCAATAGACAACTAGACTTGTTTTAAAAAGTCAGAAATGGTGAGAGTTGCTGCTGCCTATACAGAGAATATTTCTGGGTTTTAAGGCAAATCCATTTTCTACACTAGTTTTTCTGGTTAAGAAGAAAATGTGTGTTTGTGTGTGTGTATGAAACTAAATATTTTTGTGCCAAACACATCTGTTTTAGCCAGAAAAGCTTGCTTTTCTCTGGTCTCTTCTAACATACATACTTTACTCTGGGTTCAGTTGAGATGCTGCCCGCTGTAGAGCAGTCATTTGGATACTAAGAAAATGGACACACATCCTTTGGGACAGGTTCTTAAGCAGAGTTTAAGGTTTATTTTTTCTTATAAAGTTAGGATTTTCACTATTCAAAGAATCATATCTAACGATGCAGATTTTAACAACTCACTGATGGCTCCATAATGTGTGTTTGCGACTTTTGACTTGTCTAATAAAGCAATGAGTTATTACATTTTTGCCTCAAATCTTAAGCTCTTTCTATATTAATGTCAGGCATACAGATTTTTAAAATACACCAGTGGAAAAAAATCTGATGTATTTACAAATAATACGTTTGACTTTTGACTTCACTTATGTTACACATGTGTGTCTCTTGCTGAAAAACAGATATTTCCAGCTCCTGAGTAATCTATATCGGGGGGAAAAATGCTTTTAAAATCCTCATTTATTTCAGTATAGCTTATCCAACTACAGTGTGAGAGAAATTTGACATTTGATAACACTTCATCAAAAACAAGTGGGCTCAGTGGACCAAGCCTTTTCTTCCAAGCAAGGTGTGGCTTTAAGAGTCCTGTGAGTCATGTAAACCCAAACTCACTGCTATCATGTTAATTCCGAAATGAATTTGGGTGTATTCATTACAATTTACATATCGTTAAAAGCACCCTGTAGTAAAATTAAAAAAAAAACAACTAGCGAATTCTCTCAGTACCTTCAAGGGCAGACATTTGGAGGCCAAAACAAGCCCAGGAAGAATTTGGGGGGAAATTAGTAATTAATAGCCTTCTTTGATCAAGCTTTTGTTTATAAACTGCTTCACAAATTAAAACAGCCTGCTTTATATCGGCACACTCAAGAGGGCTCATTAGAATTGATGGGGAGTTGGGGGTGGGGGTGGGGTAGACCTGATTTCCTAACTCTGACCCCTTTTTCTTCCTCTCCCCAGTGGTACACGGATGAAGACCATGGAATAGCAAGCAGCTCCGCACATCAGCATATATATACCCACATGAGCCACTTCCTGAAACAATGCTTCTCTCTTCCTTAGCACCTGGCAAGAGCAGGCCATTTAAGGCTTATCATCAGCCCCTTTTGTTTTCATTATCTCAAACTATACTGTCAAGATCTTATGGAAAATATACTCAGATCAAGAAATTTAAGATGACCCCTACCCCCAGTTTTAAGGCGATACCCCTAAGTAAAGCTCTCTGACTTTGCAACAGATTATTTTATGCCTCTCTTCCCAAAAAAAGTTTGAAATGATTCAGCCCAGTTTTGTTTATCATTTAAAATCATTTCCACGTCAGCTGCTGAAACAAGAGAAAATACGATTTTCTTTTCATGGGCGTTTTGCATAGGTTCCTGGACAGGATTTCTCTTTTTCTAACTGGACTAGCTGAGATCATTCTCTTCTTGAAAGGGCTGGCAAGATGTGGCAGTGATGTCCCCAGGGCAGAGGCAAGGACAAGAGGGGTCGGTGGCAGAGAGGATAGCCTGGGGCCCCAAGACCGAGCATGCTGACCCCACCAGGCTGCTGTCAGCTCCCTCGGAGAAGCGCCGCTCACAGCCAGACGGGCACGGTTTTCTGAGAAAGGCGATTCAAACAGTCTCAGGAAATCATAGATGCAAAGCAGCGACTTCTGAGTAAAACCACAGCCGTTGACTCGATTCCAGAGAAAGCCGAGGGAAACTGCCAAGAACGCACGGCCCCCAGGTGCCAGTTACGGCTACAGGTGCCACACAAACACAGCCAGGGCGGGGAAGCCTGCGTTCCAAAAGACAAGACTGATGTTTCAGAGTGGAAGAAAGAGGCAACTTGGAACTGGATAGGAACACATCACCTTGCCCTGTTGAAAGATGAAAATATTTTGTATCACAAATCCTAACTTGAAAGAGTCCTTGGATCGAGTTTTTTCTTTTCTTTTCTTTTTTTGAAAATCTCAATTAAAAAAAAAAATATATATATATATATGTATATATATATAAGTTCTGTGGAATGCGATGCATTGCTATCTCCAGTCCGCGCTAGGGCATTTCCCTGGGTCAAGGGTTGTATCTTCATTTTTTTTTCAGAGGTAATAAGTGGAGTAGTCCTTGAATCAGACCTAAACCACACTGACATATGGATATGTTTCTCCAGAAAGGCTCTTGTTTATTTTCTTAGCTATCCCAGGCTACCTTGTAAACGTGCAAAGATTTCCATGTTTGTAAAAAATCTGATACATAAAAATGTGCTAAATTAAGCAGCCCGTAATGTTTTTGTCTACCACATGCACGCTGTCACTGTACATACACATACCTTTGGAGACATTGACTTGAGTTCTCTCAGTCCTTGAGATAATGTTGTGGTTTGGTTGTGGTTGTGGTTGTGAGGGGCCACCAAGTTGGCCCGTCAGACTCCCCTGGAGCAAAATGAGCCTCTGCCTGGGGCTGCAGCGGCCTCAGAAAGGTCGCTGCACAGCCCCGGTGTTACTTCAGCTCCGTGAGGGTGGATGACCCTCCAGTTTACCAAACATGCTATCCTTCTCCGGGGTCTGCTCCCTCTTGATAACATGTCCAAATCCACGGGACACACACGATGACGATGCTGACATACTCTGCACGGTGTCATTTTGATGGGGGGCGATGATAACACTCATAAGACCCAATGATAGCAGCCATGCCAGTGTGGAGGCTCTGATGCTCAGCAAAAGTAAACGGGCGGGGGGTGGGGAGGAGGTGAAATCAGTCACCTAAGTGTTTGCCTGAGGAATTATTTTGGCTAATACAGCGATGACGATGAGATTTCTGTAGCTGTATGTGAGAAAGCACTGACTTCAGACTCTCAACTTGGCCTAAAAGCAGAATGTCTACGTAACTGAAGAGACAATGGTTTTTCATCTCGTCTCCAGGATTTCATTGTTTTCAGTGTTGGGCTTTGGCTAGACAAGGCTATCCCAGGCAGGGTGAGCTGTCTGTGAGAATTCTACTGTATAAGAATATTAGATGTATGACACGATACTGAGATTCCAATAAGGTGTAAACAAAACATACCCAAACACAGTAATAGCTCTCCCACCACCCTCCATAAAGCAGCGTCACGGCTCTTCGTCAACTGTTGACAATTGGTTCCCTGTGTCCATCTAAGAACGCTTTTTGCATGCACTTTAAGTGGGTGGTAAATGCTTCTTCGGGGACGTCTAAGGTTCACAGAGAGGCCCCCTGGTGGCTCACTGGGCTCTGAGTTGGGCTGCTAACTGCAGGGTCACCAGCTAGAACTCACCAGCCTCTGAGAAAGAGATGAGGCGGTCAGCGCCCATACAGATTGACTCATGCAGATCTACTCTGTTCTGCAGGGTCCCAGGTGTTGGAATTAGCTCAGCGGCAATTTGTTGGGTTTTTTTGGACAGGTTGAAGAAAGTAACCCTGGTGGTGCACAGATAAGTGTTGGGAAATTAACTGAAAGTCAGTGGTTCAAACACACCAGGTGTTCCTCAGAAGCAAGATGAGGCTGTCTGCTCCTGCAAAGAATCACAGTCTTAAAACCCTAGAGAGGGTGGCTCTGAGTTGCAATCTACCCCGTGGCCGTGGATTTGGTTTTTGCTGCTGTTGCTAAGAGTTACAGATGGTGATAATATGGAATGACCTCACCATCCGATAAGAAAAATTCCAAACTCAAAAAAAAAAAAAGAAAAGAAAAATTCCAAACTCAAACTCACTGCCACTGAGTCGAGCTGCACCGGTGAGTTTCTGGGGTCATAAGTCTTTATGGGAATAGGAAACCTCAGTTTCTCACACAGAGCAGCTAGTAGTTTTAAACTGCCAACCTTGAGGTGAACAGCACAATGTGTTACCACTAAGCCACCAGGGCTCTTAGGAAAGAGTCAGAACATGGTCTTATAAGACCAATGTCATGCTTGGGAGGAATTTATCATCGTCACCTTTCGGTGGCCATATTGACATTTAAATCTAAGAATCTGAATAGATAAAAACAAAAACAAAGTGTTTACTACTTGTTGAGGAAGGCATATTTTCTGGTACATAAATAGGATATAAACTTCAAAAAACAATAAAAATTCTTATTCTACATAGTCCTTCATCTGACCCAGACCAAGTTTCATCAAATGACTTAAAAACAGACGTGAGTTGGGTCAGAAGCGGGACCCACCAAACCACCATGGCTCCTCTTACCAAACGCCATGGTTCGTGACTTATAAGGGGTTGGGTGGGATGGGTGTGGAGTGGAGTATTTCACTGTGTAGGTTTAGTTTCAAATTATATTCATAGACACGTGAGGGACAAAAGCGATTTTGCAGAAGAATGCCAGCTCTCATTTTAACCGGATTCTCGTGCCAAGAACTAGAAAACGTCTGATAAGGAATACCATTCTCTCATGTCACCTCCTGCTGGAGATGCAGTGCACTGCAGCCGAGAGACCTGGTGAGCCCCTGAGTCAGCACCATACTCGCTATGCCCGCTGCCAGAGGAGCACTGCCCTGCAGGGCTTTGGCAGTAGACAGCTTCATCTTTCTCTTGGGGCGTGGTTTGAACCACTAACTGGTTAGCCCCTCAAACACCGAGAACCCTCTATGCCATCAGCACTAGTGGGAAACCTTTTAGGGAACTTGACATGACCTCTTTGAATTCCAGAACCTGATGCGAAGAAAGTACAAAAATATCGACATCACCGGATTGTTGCCTGGTGACGATGGCTCGTGTACATATAATACCTGGGACTTTTCTTTCTCCTTCCATTTCCTCTAGTCGCAGCTACTTAGCCTCTTCTGTTCTGATGATTAGACTGTCAGATGGATAATTAGGTTCCTGTACCCTCAGGGACTGGACACAGGAGGGTACCAGATAAGCATTTGCTTTGGGTCCAATATTGACATGTCTGAGAGAATCCATTCTGGATATTTCATCATCCCTACTACATTGAGCTACAGCATGTTCTGGTGTACTTCCTTACGATTGCGTGGGTAACCTTTGTTGGGTGTGAAAAGAGGAACACACAGAAATTCTGTGTGCAGAGGGTCAGTTTGGATCAGAAATGACACAATCGCAACCAACAACAGCAACAGCAACGATCCTTCAGACGTCCTGGTCGTGCAAGGGTTAAACCATAGGCTGTCCATGAAAAGGTCGGAGATTCAAATCTACCAGCAGCTCCACGGGAGGACAGACCTGGTGGTCTCCTCCCCAAGACAACAGCCTATGAAGCCCTGGTGGGCATTTCGGCTCTGTCCTCCAAGGACACTCAGCAACAGCATGGGTCTGAATCCCTGAGGAATCACAGCAGGCAACTCCAACGGAGAAGAGTTGCTTAGTAGGCTCAGGTTCAATGTGGATACCCCGCTTTTCCGGACACATGTTCAAATACAACCGAGGAGAGCTATCTGCCGGGGATGCTCTCGATAAAAGGATGTAGACTAAAGCTATTCGTGTCTGAAGTTGCTTAGGAAGTACTCAAGGAGGATGCTTGAGTCAGTTTGATTTCAGGCACCCTAGACATTGATAGACCACTCTCAAAGAGGCTCACGTGATCATTTCAGAGTAATCCTGGCGGCAGCTTCTCTAAGAGAATCATTCTCCTCTTCCTCCATCCTATTCTCCACTCTGTTGGCACACTTACCTTGTCAGAGGTTTGTGCATACGCCATTACTCAAAGCTCTTAATAAGGCTCAAATACCTTAGTGTATAATTTTCTCCCAGGAGATCTTCAGCTTTCTTTCTACCACCAAGGCCTTACTTTCCAACTCTTTTATTATTATTATGAATTATTTTATTGGGGGACTCTTGCAAATCTTATGACATTCCATCGTTCAATTGTATTATGAACACTTGTCCATAGGTTGCCATCAACATTTCCAAAAAATTTTCTTCCTACTTGAGCCCTTGGTGTCAGCTCCTCTTTTTTTCACTCTCCCTCCCCTCCCCTACCACCCTCGTGAATACTTGATCAATTATATACTGTTGCTACTTCCTGTCTTACACTGTCTATTGTCTCCCTTCACCCACATTACTGTTATTCATCCTCCTGGGGGGTGGGCTATATATCCAACCTTGCGAAGGCTTCCCTCTTTCTCCTCCCTTCCCACCCACCATAGTGTGTAATTTAACATCTTTTAGGATCTGTCTTCCACAAGCATTTTTACCCATTCTTACGGGCCGTTACTACTTCCCCATGACTCTGCCATAGGAGGCTATTCACTGGTTTCCACCCAGGCCATCCACCAAATATGGCAGGCTCCAGTTATGCTGGGCATCTTAGAACTTCACCTCTATTTCAAAACTGATATGTTTTGAAATCTTTATAGTTCCTGTAGTAAGCCCCATCCCCATTTCTCTCCTAATCTATATACTCTATTACCTCTTCCTGAAAGATTTCCCCAACTGCTTCCCCAACTTAATTTCTATTCTTGTTACTCACCACCTTCATCATCGCACAAACTCAGTACCTATCACATTTACATAACTGCTATGTATTCACCCAAACTTAGAGGAAGGAACATGGTCCTAATTTCAAATAGTTAGCACAAAGACAGCTGCCTAATCAGAGAGATGATGGCATCAGTGGAATGCAGGCTTCTAGAGAGCAACGAATTAGCTCTGTGAGATAAAGTATTGTGAGCAATGCCTGAATATTGATCTTCCTGGGACCTGACAACAATGGGACTTACCACTCATTGTAGATATTTAGGGAACACTCGTATTATCCAAAGTATTCTCACAAAACTTTAAATTGGTTCCAAGCACATTTCACCACGTGCAAATGTGAGACAGACACAGAGGCCAACTTGAAGAGCAATTTTACAATGGCAATAGTGTAGTCAAGTGACCAGGAGTAAACGACCACACGTTAAATCAAAGCTAGGTATGGATTGAAACAATCCATCCTTTTAAGATCCACGAAAACTCCTAAAAGACTTAAGAATGCTGATGAAATATATGCTGCTTGTGAACCATCGATGGTGAACTTCTGTCAAACGATAGGCCCACTTCTACATCTAGGAGACATTCAGACCACATTGAGCGAAGATGTCCCAATAAGATGTCAAAGAGTAGCACTTACAAAGTAAACCAAGACAACCTCAGGCATTTCTTAAGTTGGTTAGCTAGTGAGGAGAAAATGATCAACCAATATGGTTAGAGTTCTGAATGCAATTATATCCATAACAGATTGCCTGAGGGCTAGCAAAATACAATAGTCTCTTCTGACCTATTCCCTAAGAAGAGGGAAGCCAAATTTTCAGAAACGTTTCTC